CCATTGCTATTGTCTCCAACCTCCTCAAAAGGTCATTGCGTATCTCTCATAGATGGGCGTTAATTGATTTTGTAGTATCTCATCATGATTATTCACAATGCAGAACATTAGTTCGGGGCCCTATTTGTGCACAAAACATGCAAGGTGTCACAGTTGTGGATCCAATGTGCCAGGAAATGGATCAAGTGTAAGGTATCATATTAATATCTTTTGGTGATTCTTCATTTTCTAGTCAATGCTACTTCTTTAGATTCAGAGCTAATTATCTGAGAAACGTACTTGCCATTTGCTTTTTGATCTATAGGTGGTTTCTGGGATACACCTGCTGTGATGCATGTGGAAGGTTGTTTATGAAAGGGAACTACTGTCCTGTCTGTTTGAAGGTTTCAATATTTTTTCCATACTGATTTTCTTTCTTGGAATGGGTGATGGGAGATGTTCATTTGATAGATCTTGCCATCAATTAATTTATTTAGTCAAATATTTAGAAAGATACATAATTTTACATATGACTAGCGGTAGAATTCTTTTGGTATAAGAATAATGGCAATAGAATTTCAAACTTAAATGATGGCATTGAAATCTCAGGGACCCATTAGATAGATAACATGCATGTTACTATTGTTACTATTTTATATTTTAGTTTTGATTTCCTTTTTCTTTCGCTTCTATTTTTTATCTGTTTTTACTGGATATTTGGATAGTGAGGTCTGGATGTCAAATAGTTGACTGAACACTCTTGGCACATTTTGTAGGTTTATAGAGATTCAGAATTGACACCAATGGTTTGCTGCGATATTTGCCAGCGCTGGGTACATTGCTATTGTGATGGTATTAGGTTAGTTTCATTGCTTTTACTGTACTTTATGGACTACCATCTAGGATACCAGAATATACATTCTTGTTGACGGTACATTGTGCTTTTAATGTTTTGTTTGGCAGTGAGTGATAACCTATGGCATACATCATTATCTGGAGTTTATTTACGCTGGATGACTCTGTTTCCACCCTGTTGCCCCTTCTTTTATTGATTGAATAGCTGTTGACCTCTTAACAGTCTTTCTTGTTTATATTGCCAGTTTTGTAAGGTACCATCTCTATTGGTCTAGAATTTACCGTATCAGTTTAAATTTATTATTTTTTATGGCATGTTTTGCAGTGATGAAAAATATCACCAATTTCAAGTAGATGGGAATCTGCAGTATAGATGTCCTGCATGTCGTGGTGAATGTTATGAGGTATTTGGAAGGCCCTTAATACTTATATCCCTTTTCATGTTCCGACTTTGATCTCCACGTAAAAGTACATTGCAACGATTATTTTTATTTGTACTTCTCAATACTCATCTCATAAGTCTGTATACTCCAGGTCAAAAATATTAAGGATGCCATTCAAGAGCTCTGGAAGAGAAAGGATGTAGCCGACAGAGATTTAATTGCAAGCTTGAGGGTTCAGGCTGGTTTACCAACTCAAGAAGAAACTTTTTCTATTTCACCATATTCAGATGATGAAAATGGTGGACCTGTAAAGGTAAGGAGTGAATCTGGGCGTTCCCTTAAATTTTTTAAAGACTTTTTGTGATGACTTGCCAGAGAAATTAAGGATAATGGAAGGAAACATTCAATTAATGGAAAAAGTGATGTTGAATATTTGCATAGCTCTGATAATGATATCAAATCGCAGAGAAATGAGGTTGGCAATCTCAATTCTTCACCTGCTGCTGGATGTCCTGTCAGTCAGTCAGGGATATTGAAGGGCAAGTTTATAGAAGAGGTGTCATTTAGTGATAAAGAGCAGAAAACTAGAGGTTTTCAAATTAGGAACACTAAGGCACATGGCGTGGATCGTGTGGAGGAGACTGGAGAAAATGACAAGAGGACTCAAACTGTGCAAGGGAAGAAGTTGATTGTCAATTTGGGGCCACAGAAAGTTAATATGACTAGTTCTCCACAATTCGATGCCATAAGTTGCCAAAAAGATCAAGATATGGTTGCTCCCAGTGGTATGTGGTTTTATCACGATCAATTGGTTCCTTTTCCCCTCTATTTATTTTGGAAAAAATGGAGATTGTAAGATATTATTATGTGAACGCGGGCTATGGTGGATCTCTTATTTAAGATCCCTCGTGAAAAAGCCCCGGTGAAATGTAGTAGACGTACACCAGAGAATAATCTTTAAATCAATTTTCACTTGTTATAATGTGTAGTTATGCCAAGTAGCAATGAACAATGATTCTGCTTTCTGTGTGTTCTTCATGGATGATCATTTGGGTTTCTGTTGCATCCGTTTCCTTTCTATCATGGGATTTTTGGGTTGAAATTGAATGTCACATTTGTCAACTAATATATATGCTTGTGGAAAGAGAAAAGCGGATCTTTTCATCAGTATATCATTGGATGTTACTGTCCATTATTCCGGTGGTTAGCGTTTGGAGACCATCTGACCTGGGTTCATATGAATTGCAGGGAGCAGGGTTGACACTCGTCAATCAAAAGTATTGAAGGTTTTTAGAAGAGAGAGAAATCTCAGAGGTAATATTTCTGGGGAAAGTGAAGCTGTTCCTTTAGAGCAACCTCGCATCTTTCTTGAAAAACGTAGTTCTGAAGGAATAGCTGATCAAGTTGGAAATGGAGCAGCAATGTCGGGAGGTGAGAGGACGTCTTTGGGAAGGCCTCCAGAGGGGAGATTTGGTTCAAATGATGAATCAGATGACAATGAGTATCAGACACCTTCACATTCTTTGCCCAAAGATTCTAAACCCTTGCTGAGGATCAAGTTCAAGAAACCTGGCATTGAAAATCAAAATTTGTCTTATTGGGAGGGGATGAGTGTGATCAAGGGTCAGAGGTCAAAAAGGAAGAGACCTTCACCATTGACGAATAAAGCATCTCTCCATTACGAGGACGTAACGCATTCAAATCAGAACACTCAAATGGATGAAATAATGGATGCGAACTGGATATTGATGAAATTGGGTAAAGATGCAATCGGCAAGAGAGTTGAAGTTCATCAGACATCTGACAATTCTTGGTGAGCGTCTCATATCCTTTCACTGATTCTGCAAATTCGATGTAGGAGGGAATAGCGTATGAATCATATAATTCATCACAGGCCAAACTAGTCCATTGCCACAATTATCCTCCCTAATGTGCTCTTTGAAACTCCACTTTTTAGCTGATAAAATGGTCCCCCCCCCCCCCCAAAAAACAAAAATTTGCATCCAAATTTTATCATTCATAACTTACTCTTTATCTCTTGAATTCAAATCATACTTTTGAACTTCATTGTAATGATGTTAATCGTCTGCTTTTCCACAAAACTGCTGTGTAGCTATAACAGCAAGAAAACTAGAGTAGGGAATCTGATATGGAATCGGTCCCTTCCCTTGTGTCTTTTTTGATTGTTTTAACCAGGAACAAAGGAGCAGTCACTGGCATAATTAAAGGTACTTCAAAGCTTAGTGTTGCCTTGGATGATGGGACAGTGAAGATGTTAGATCTTAACAAGCAAGCGGTCCGATTTGTTCCTCAGAAGCACAAGAGTTCAAAAGCTTGAATGGCTCGGCTTGTCTCTTTACCCTCAAGAGACATTTGTACATTTGGGCAGTATGTAGGTTGTAGTTGATTGGATTGAAAATTAACTATAAGTCCTTTGAATTTCAAAGGTGAAAATAAAGGATACGTTATATATATATATGTGTGTGTATATTTACAAAGAAAATCTTGGGATGTTTCTACCTGAATGCTTATTAACTCTCCTTGATGGACGTGAAGGTCTTGCATAGACTCTAAATTGAGAACACATTAAAAAAAATTAAAACGGTTCAACAAATAAATAATCGTTAGACAATTTATTAGAAGAATAAAGAATCCTAAGCAAGTTATTGCTGATCCTTTTAAAAGTTCGTTCTAAAATCAGTTATTAGCATTGTTTTTTAGGGGAAACTAAATAATTAGCAGTAACAATGCAATTAAATATTATATGTGAACTCGGAAAATCCCTGCAATCCTAGAGTACCAATAGGCGATAGTTTCGAAATACAATTGTTGTGCTAACATGTTCTTTTTCATTAATCAATGCTTTTCACTACCCATAGATATAATGAAAGAAAAAAAGTCTAAAAATTAGTCGGAAAAAATTAAACTGCTTGAGACGTTTGAACATTGAATTAAAGTTATTTATATTGCGAAAATTAAGGACTTTAAATATTACATATTGGTTCATTAGTTATTAACAAAAATGCATATTGTTTTAAACATTCTTAATCGATACAATAATATAGACGTACAGATCATTCTTAAAAAAAAAAAAAGAGGCAAAAACTGATAATTGCTTGGGAAAATCGTAAAAAAATATATTTTGGAAATAGAAAAATTGTAATTGCTTTATCAATTGATAATTTAAAAATAATTCGAATACTTCAGTTAATACACCGTGCAAATTAACTGTGTACTGTTGTTACATTAATAGATTATTTGCCTGCAGTAATATCAAATGTTCAAACATACTTTTTTATGAAGAAAATAAAAATCAGTAAAATTATGATTAAGTTTTATCTCTTATTCCACGCTTGGCCACTAATAAATATTTATAAATTATTTTATCTCAACATATAAAATACTATGAAATTGAAAAAAGTGAGATAAAAATTCAAATATATTAATGTTTAAATCTAATAAGTTATCTTTTAAAACGCAATAAAATATCAAATTCGATTGATTTATTTTTATATTATTATAATTTGTTTTAGATCTTCTCTTTAGATTATCCCTTTATTAATTAAGGTTTTCCCTAAACATTTATCTCAATCCTTTACAAGTTCAAAATCTTTTATTGTTATCTTTGTCCTATATATCGGCCTACTCCTCTCTTTATAAATCAAATCCTCCTCATCACAATTTTCTTCTTCAACTTTCCATTAGGACACTCTTTAAGTTCATCCGATCCTACTCAGATTCCCCCCCCCCCCCCCCAAAAAAAAAAAAAGGTTCTAAAAGGCAATGAATATTCCTTCTCGTGTCAGAGTTAGATATAACTGTGAAGTTCTTTATCCACTAAGCACAATTATCCCTACTGATCCCAATAATTATCCCATTAATCCTCCTAATGATGATGATCAATACATCAACATCACAGCTGCTAAATCAGTATGGAACTGGCAAATGTTGGATCCTACACGAGTTGAAAGCTCAACCCTTGTTAATACATATTCCACAACACATGATTTCTTCAACATCTCAAAAAACTCCATAGATCAAATTGCAAACCTTATTCCTTCTCATTTTGGTATCCCTTCATTCTCCGGCAGATGCATGGCAAGAAAGATCTTGGATTCTGCAAGAAACATGCTTAATAATACCCATAAAGACCAGAAGATCTTGTTCATGGCTGTGCTTATTGAAGTTGTTAAAACTTGGTGTTATCATTCTGATCCTACCACTGGTGATTCTTATCATCAGGCTGCGGAGGCATCTTTGGAAGCCCTGGCGAATCAAAGTCTTATGGCAGTGCCTGCAACTAAATCATTTATTGAGGAATTGGAAACTGTGAAGGTTGAAGAAGAAGAAGAAAAGTTAATAAGTAACTGTGCGATTTGTTTGGAAGATTTCAAAGTTGGATTCTTAGAAGTTACTCGTTTGCCTTGCTCGCATTTATTTCATAAAGCTTGCATTGTTGAATGGCTGCAGAACGATGGTATCTGTCCTTTGTGTCGTTTTCGAATGCCTATTGAATGATAACTGGTTCAAGTTATTTAATTAGATTCTTTTCCTTTCTTTTTTTGGCATGAAATTAAAGTAAACTAGATTTGTTTGTCAATTATTCAATTACATTATACTACCTCCCGGTCCTAAATATAAGAACTAATTAACTAATTACATAGCGTCATGCAATCCATATAATCGACCCCACCTAGTGGAATAAAGCTTCATTATTGTTGTATTTGTAATAAATATGTTATTTTTCCTAAAATATCCTTACTAATCAAGTATATTGGCTATAACTATCATTATTAGAAAGATTGCTTTGAAAAAATATATGAGAGACAAAGTGGATTTGGGTCTTATATTTAGAATTAAATAAAAGTCAAATGAGGTTTTACATTAAGAATTAAAGATAGTATTGGTGATGCAAATTATACAGACTGAATTACCTTTTTTTTCCTAACGCATATTGCATACCATATTGTTTTCCTTGATATGTTTCGTTTGTGTGTATGATATACTGTTAGCTCTTAACTGTATTTGCTATAAATTTTAATTTTATACTGTTAATTCCATGAAAATAAATGAAAAGGATATGAAGCGGATTGAATTATTTTACCTGCTATTTAAAGGTCTGAAAGACAACCATATACATCAAGATACATTCTTATGCTGAAAAGTAAAACAAATATGAAAATTATTCCTCAACTTTCTAAGAAGGCATTGGGTTCCTTGATCTTCTATCATTGTAGACACAGTCAAAATTTAACAAATTTAATTTTAAACTGAACAAGAAAATCTCTCAGGCTCTCTCAGCTGTAAAGTATACATAATCAGAATTTCCTCCCCACTTGTGTATATACAATGTTAGTTAACTTCCCAATCATACTCTGTTACTTGATAATAAACACATAACGCCTGCTGGACAATATATAAGGTTTCATGTCATAAATATATAAAGATATATTTCAAAATTCACTCTCCCTTGTCATCATCATATTTGGACATTGCCTCCTCCAGCTTGATCACTATTCCCACCTGCGGTTACTGCAACCCAGATCAATGAAATTATAATGGAAAGCAGCCCTAGCCACACTAAAAGTATTGTGGGAACCCTTCCTCTCTTGCCCATTAAACCTTTAGCAAAAGGGTACATATGAACCAAAACCCATAAGCTAAAGAACAAGCCTCCCAATAGCCTATTCCACTGTGGTATCACACTGTATATAGTCCTTGCGCATCCTATTACCATAGCTATGATGTTGATGCATATAATGGTTAGTGGCACGATGAAGAGACTTGTCCATTTCACGATGTAAAGATCGGCGTAGATATCTTCGTCTTCATCTGCGGCTGACTTAGATGTTAAAGTGAAGGAAATCTCAATGCCTGCTATGACTTTTAGCAGACCTTGTAACACTGCAGCGAGGTGAGCACTAGAACCACCAATGACCCAGAACTGCTCGTTTCGCCAAAATTCCTCAAGGGCAATGCCTGACCACTTCACTTCAAGAAGGGAGATCAGAACAAGGCAGACGGTGATGGAGAAAAGATACAAAAGGAAGGCTACGTTTAGGCCTGGAACTATGAAGTTGTTGGTGAAGAGGCAGAGTGCAGGGAGAAAGCAGTACACAACCAAGAATATAGAGGTGAAGGGGTATATGCCCACATTGAGATATGCGACTCTTTGCGAGAACTTGAGGCGCTTGCTTCCAAATATGGCGTTGTTTTTTGAGAAGAAGATTTCTACTGAGCCTGTAGCCCATCTTAAAGCTTGATGAAGCCGATCAGTCAGATTGATCGGAGCCGTGCCGCGAAAAGCATCACGCTTTGTAATGCAGTAAATTGACCGCCACCCACGGTTGTGCATCCGGTAGCCAGTCACCACATCCTCTGTCACTGACCCATAAATCCAACCCACCCTGTCCCCCCATTCAGTTTTGTCCTCGTACCTGCGGGTCCATACACAAGAAAAACATCATGGGTATATCAACAAACATTGAACAGATTTTTGGTGGATAGTTTAATGAAGAGTCAAGAAAGAGATTAGTTAGCATAATGCGATACCAGCAAGAGATGACAGCTATGGCTTCAGCAACAGTGGGTGCATCCAAAGGAGGACGTGGCTTGAGTAACGATCCTGGTGGTCTACCATTCTTAACAGATTTGTGATCAGCTAGTGGTCGGCCTTGGAATTCAGTCACAGGTATGCTGTCTGTGAACATAGTAGAATTACCAAACTTCTGGGGAAATCCAAGATCTGAGTCCGAATCAGAGTTCAGAGGCTGCCGATCATCATCCACTCGTGATCGTGCCTGTAGTACATCTCGGTTTACTTTGGTTTTTACTCTCCCAAACACGCCTGTGTGCTCATAGAACCTCGGTGGTTCAAATCCATACAGTGCGTATCTCCGAAACATGCAACCTGTCCCAACATACATTGGACCCTGCAGACCATCTAGTGCCCGCATATTTCCTGTTGATTGTTACAACCAATATCCAGTAAAACACGCATTACGGTAAACAATATTTGTGTGCGTGTGTGTGTAGAGAAAAAGAGAGAGAGGCTGGGGCTTTTACCATCAAAGAAGACTGTATTATTATTTGCATATCGATCAGAGGGATCAACGCCGTCAAACCTCTGAGGAAACTGTATGTAACATATGCGATCACCACCACGATCCATCATGAAGCACATTCCCTCCCTTACAGCTTTACTGTTATAGAAATAATGGTCACAATCCAAGTTAAGAATAAAGGCTCCATTGGACAATATAGCCGAGGCTCGAACCAAGGCATTCATGGCTCCTGCTTTCTTGTTATGATCATATCCTGGTCGTTTTTCTCTAGAAACGTAAGCAAACATGGGGAGTCTGATGTCTACACCTGTGAAGTCCAATTTCTTTTCGTCTGCAGTTCCCATTACTGGATCAAATTCTGGCACCTTACACATTATCTACAAGTAACAAATATGAAGAAGACTTAGGATTAGGAATTTATTTTGAAATTAACCACATGATATGTTAATCTTGGATGTATGAAAACTGAGATACGACAAAATCTATAGCATTAATTTATGCGTAGAATGATGTCTGGCTTGAACATCTCTGACGCTTGTCAGGTACAAACACGTCTTTCTTTTACGTGTTCATGCTCCATATAGATCAAAAGGTGAGTATCTCTTGATTGTGTTCCTTTATAATAAATTCACACTCAAAAAGCAAGATTGTGTGTGTGTCGTATATATCCAGAGTACTTGCAAGATTCCAGCATGGTCACCCTTGGCATGGTCAGCTGTAGAATTGAACCAAGTTCCCGGCCAATGAGTGCCATCAGCCATCCATGTTGCCTTTGTGACATTGATGGGTTGATCTGGTGGCAAATTCCCACCATTTTTCTCTCTGGCTGTTTGTTTTTCCTTTATCTCCTCTTTAGAGTTGTACATTTCGCTTCGTTTGCGAATCACCTCTGGAAGCCCATTGATCCTCACTTTGAATTCATCATACTCCCTCTTGATCCATCTACGATCCTTGACGAAGTCATGCTTTTTCTTGTTCTTCGTAGGATCAGTTTTTAAGCTGAAGTAAGCGTCAGGATTTCTAGGCTCAATTTCGTGTTTCCGACAAAAGGGTACCCAAATCTGTCAGCACATACAAAAACAAAGGGATTAATTCATCGTAGTGGTAAATCATTATTCACCTTAGCCGGTTTCAAATTGAGTAAAGCATTCCCCGTACGTATTTGATTCAATAATTCTTATTGTTTGGCATTGGGAACTGGAAAAATTTATAACGTGTGAATTTGCATGGTCATTGATAGCTAGCTCTTCCGTGTATAATGTATAAAATCCAAGCATGTGGCGTAGCCGTCCAGATTTCGGGTTGCACTTCTCTATTAACATACCTCAGCAAATTTGGCAGCTTCAGCCATGGCTTCAAAGGTGAGTATAGCACCACCATCGTCAGAAATGTAGGCGCTGAGCTTCTCGACTGGATAGTCAGCGGCGAGAATTGAAAGAATGGTGTTGGCGGTGACGAGAGGTGGTTCCTTTTCAGGGTCAGCGGTAGAAACAAAAAGATCGACGCCGGGTAAGTCTGATCGACCAGTCGGGTTCGACGGCGAAGGCTGTTCGAACTTGTCCTTCAGAGCCTCCAGGTCGGTACTTCTGTTTACAGGATTGAGCTTGGGAAGGATATCGAGAAGCCAAGAGAAAGCAAACCAGATCTCGCAGACAATTGAAATTCCCCAAAGCCACATGGCGTCGTAATTCGGGTTCCTGCAACGCCATCCTAGGAAGAAAAATAACAAGATCATACGGATGACAACCAATACCCTGTTTCAATGGAAGAAATCCGAACATTAAACCTGCAATAATATACAATCACCATGCATGAAAAAAAGAACAAATAACAGACCTAAATGTTCAAATCAACTGGACAAGAATCAAAGAATCGAGTATCGAGTATTATCGTAACAAATATTCTACAGAGCTTTGCTATTGCGATTAAACTGAACAGAACTATATGCAGTTCTCTGTATTTGCTAATTCTCCAGTGAAGCCACACAACTAGCCAAAATTATACGTTTCGTAATGAACTAAAATATAAAATAATTGAAATGTTTTTAGTTGATTTACCTGTAAGGGCTCAGAACACCTCCAGGAACACCAACTTTCCGAGTGAGAGGTTTCCATGGTTTGTCCATGAAATCCGACATGCTCATTCCAGTATCTTCCCCGTACTCATCGTCCTGCCAATACGCGTTTCCAATTCCATATGTCCCCTTCGTCTCGAACAACCACCGGTTGTGATCAAAATCCTGAGTCTGACTCCTCGACAGCATCGACTTGTTGTTCACAGAATTCAAGATCGACACTCTTCTATCAAACTTCGCCGCACTCCCTCCGCTGCTGCCTCTGCGGTTCGGCTGAGACTCAGAAGCTAATCGTGAAGAGCCGGCACCATCGGTCTTGGAATCGGAGGTGCCAGGCTGGTTGTCCGGCGTGGGCGGCATCATGACTGTGTAATTGATGTAGTCATTTTGACCGGCGATGTCGCCTGTGACGTCAATGTCATCATCTCGGGAGAGGCTAACGACTCTGCCGCTGGAAGTTCGCCGCGCAAACTTCACACCTTGTGGTGGCCGTGCGTTGGAGGAGGGCGAGGAAGACGTTGGCCTTTGATTTGGATCTGAAGAAGCCATATATAATCTCTAAATGACAAACTTTGACATGATCATTCTGTTGAAGTTAGTGTTATGATGGAGAGATGATGAGTACGAACACTTTCATGCAGGCATTATTGGTGATGATGATGAAAAGAAGGAAAGATTGAAGAACAGTGATGAACTGAATTAGTGGTACGAGAAAGTATTGCATATATTTAGGATATTCTGGATCAGCCATTGTCGCCCCCTTGATTCAATCTTAGCCTCTCTTTAATTTCTTCCCAGTTCGTCCAATTATGAAACTTACGTATCCTACTACAGGCGCACAGGTTTTAGCTTTCAGGGCATCCTAAAATCTTGCATTAAAATGTCAGGCAAAGGGAGTTCCAACTTTGACTTTATTAGAGCTGCCTCATACTTGTGAGCCTAACTCTTATGGGCCTGATCCATATGAGCTTAAGCCCATAAACCTTTACCACTGAAATTTCATCATTCTTTGTACCAAACTTTTTTTTTTTTAAAACAATCATTTTCTCAAGTCTAACACTAATTAATCAAATTTAGGGACGGGCCTCAGAGCCCTGATTTAAGTTTTTTTTTTTTGGTATGATGATAGATATATAAATTTTATAAAAGAACACAAATAACCAACGGCATTGTGTTTAAAAGAAGATACTAGTTCTCATAACGCGCTCTCCAAAGTTCAAACTAAATACAACTCTTGATTTTATATTTGTAAATTTTGATATTAATTATTTTGATTAGTCCGTAAGTTATAATTTTCCTTAAGTGTATTCTTGGGATGAATTTTCTCAGTTTCTCTAATCATTATTTCCCCCTATCTTTAGAAACCGAAGTTCGTAGCCAAAAGAAACCAATTAATTGAAAATATCAACGGGTACAAATAATGTAAAATCATGTTAAAACTTCCAAGATAAAAAAGTCATTCCAATTTACATTATTAATTGAAAATGAATTGTTCGCAAGAAGATTCTTTTGTTGAGCATTATGCACAACTACAAACAATTTTCTAATTTTTTTAGTCTTGGATTCTTTTGTTGAGCACGGAGAGAAGCACAAAACTGCTACAAACATTTTTCTTAGTTTTTTTAGTCTTGGATTAGGGAGAATAAAACTATTATATAAAGATCGAAACACATAATCTTTTTCTCCCAATAACATCGTAAATTAATCATACAATCAATAATATGCAATTGTTGGATGAAGATAATTATATATATATATATATAAACGAAGATTTTCACTATAAGGTTTTTTTCTTTAAAAAAAAAAATCATATCATGCATCCACGGCCAGACCAGTTGCATGGTATCATCTTGACGTTATTAATTAGTTGAATGACTTTGTGACTTTAAGAAACCTTCAATACTTTTCTTGCATGTAGTGATCTCATATTCTCGTGTCAAAGCTTAATAAAGTAAACTTTACGTAACTTTTTTTGTTTTGTTCATGTATTGATGCAAATATCAAAATACTGTACAAGAAAATTTAAAAAAAAAAAAATTCCCTACAACATGATTTTCGCATAATAACTCTAACACCTATTTTTCTACTTCTTTACATCAAAGTTATTTCCTTTTCACACATATTACACAAATATATATACTTTCCTCCCATTTAGATCCTTTGGAAGTGTCAAAATAGTAATATTTACATACCAAAAAAAAATGTACATTAAATTAATTTACATCATGACTGTGAAATCGTCGTCTAAGCCATCAAGTTCTCCTTTAAGCTTATGTTGCTGTATGATCAAAACGGAGACTGTGATTGAAAAATCTGGACCTGAAAGAACATCTCCGATGGGTCCCAATTCTGGACATTGTTGCCAATCGTTCATCCCTTTCGTTAATATGGAGTTCACTCCTCCTTCTCTCCCCACTATCACCAGAGAGTACCTTCCCTCAAACGATTTCAGCACCGAGAACGTCTCCGCCGAGTTCGCCAGGTGTTTCTCCATGTACGCGATTCGGCCTCCGACGATGTGTTTCTCGTAGAACTGTGCAAAACACTCGTCGTCTAATGCCATTTCCTGTTCTTGCTCCGATAGGTTCACGCCCAGTGGGCCGGAGAATTTGTTTGCCTCCGCCGTCGTGTCTACTAGAAGTCTTATGACTGTGAGTTTCACGCCGGAATGCCGCGCAACTCGGCCGGCGTAGGCGATCGCTTCTCGGTCGTCTTTGCCGCCGACGAAGATGACTGCCACGTTGATTGAAACGCTGGTTCTTTGTATCTTCTCGATGGATCCTAGACCTCTGTCCACTAGAATCCCCACCGAGCAAGGCGCACTTTTCAGAACCTGCTCCAATTATTGCCATCATACTTCATATATTTTGAGCACTATTTCAGAAGTTGGCAAATTTTGGGCTACACACTTGGCTTCTTTTAATGTTCTTCCTAATCAATGTCCTACCCTCTTAAATATTTTTTTTCATTAGATTTTATATAGAGAATGAGTGAACATATAGGGTACTGTTTTAATTTTTTTTATGATTTTAAAAAATTGATAGAATTGTGTAGTTTTAATTTATTTTCTTCAAAAACTGCAAAAAAAAATTCAAAATTGCACCCACAACATATACCATAATGTCACTTATTTGATAATGAATTTAGTTAGAAAGTTGAGACATCAAGGAAAAAATATTAAGGAGGCACATATATGCTAAAACCCACAAACTTTGGGATGACGTTACCTTTCGATTGACGTGCCTGAAGCCAGGATTACCTCCATCAAGCGTTCCATCCTCACGATGTCTCCTATGAAATGGCAATACGATGAGGGCAATGTTGAGTTCATCAGCTAAAGAGCAAATATCACGTGCCATGTTAATGAACGTCGACACCGCCATGGATCTCCTAATAGTAATCCCATCACCATCCTCGTCAACATATTCTTCAAACGAGCTCGTCACTTTCTCTCTGTTAGCCGCAATAGCCCTGTCGTTTAGAGCCACAGTCTTATTATCTCCTCCTCCTTCGGCCTTCTCTGCGGCGGCTGCTAGCTCGTCGGTGAGTTCCACCAAGTCGGTGACACAAACGAACATTCCTGGGTCTGTCGTTCCTCTGGAAATCTCCATGAAGTTGATGCATGCAGGGACGTTTTGTGGTCCGTGAACACAGAGCAGTATTCTGAGTTCACTTGATGGTTCCAGCAACTGGAGGGCCATGCGATGCGTTGGAGCTCTTTTTCTAGCTCGCTTGATAATGTGTGCTACGACTGATGGGGAATGAAGAACTGTGAAAAAGATTGCAATTATCATCTCTATTCCAGTTGTAGTATTTCCCCCACATTTCATCTGCTCACACAAGCACAAGCTGTGTTATATGCGATAGCTAATTAAATCATAAATCTAATTGGTTAATACTACACATAAGACTAGCCGTGATTAGCATCCAAACTCATTCCCAAAAAGATCAAATCTAGACAATTCAAATCAAATGAGTTTTGGTGTTCCTATCACTCTTATGAGCATTCAAACTCATCCCCAAGTTACTATAACTTCATGATAAATATTATTATCTCTTGTTTTATATAAGATCTACTTATAAACAATTACACAATCCAAGAAAGTTAGTTGAAATAATTAGCAATGGCTTGATTTTCTAAAGTTATATATATTGATCTACTGTTTAGTTCGTGTGTCTGTTATTTCATTTGAATGATGAAATTGTTAGTCTTGATATGTATTAAAAAAGAGAGAATTTTTCAGAATAGACCTTATCACTTTTGAAGAACTACTGGGTTGAACTCATTATCATATAATCCAGAAATCTAGGCAACCAAACACGCGTGAAGAAAAGAAAAAGCATCATAAGAACATGAGAAATTCAAAACCTACGTACCACTTTAATGGCTAAGTATATGTGAAAATGGCCCTTTGTGGTGAGAAGCAAGCCAATGGCAACAGAATCAGGCCAATTAAAACCCAACATGGCTCCTGAAATAACAGTTCCAGCAACTTTACTTGCCATTCCTATGGCCACCAACATCAACAACCTTATCCATGTCGCCAACCTCCAAGCCTCAAACTTCCTTAAATCAGCCTCATAACCCATCCACAAGAAAAATATAGGAAAGAAAATCGAAGTTAACATGTAATTTATCTTCGTGATGACCCACTTCGATAACCTACCTTCACGTGGTAAGCAAATCCCAGCCATGAACGCACTCAGAATCGGACTGTAATCATACAGAGTTGAAGATGCACAGATTAACACCATAAATGCCACAGAAAGCACCAAGTGTGCACCTTTCATGGGTTTTCCTTCTGGGTTTTCATTATTCACCCATCTCATCATTATTGGAGAAACTATGGCTGTGAACAACATTTGCCCTAGAACTGCACATCCCATAACAATGGACAGTTTAATGCGAGCTTTTCCTCTGTCGTTCATCCTGTAAGCCTCCTTCTCGCAGAACACCGGCAACGGCATCGCAATGTAGCCGATGGAGAGGAGCAGAGAGCAGAGGAAGTCGGAGTGCATGCCGGCGGCAATCACGAGCTTACCGATGTCGGACTTGCTGATTTTGAGGCTTGTGATGAGACGTGTCAACACCGGCGACGCCGTGCTGGCGAGGAGAGTGGAGAGACAGAGTGTGAAGTAGAGTTTGTGTTTGCCGGAGAAGAAATCGAATAATGGCGTGGTGAAGCAGCCGACAATGAAGGTGGAGAGGATTCCGGCGTAGGCGATTTGAGCATCCCGAGATGGCTGTTTGAAGATCGCATAAGGATCCATTTCTATTCCCAGAGCAAACATGTAAAACATCATCACAAAATCGATTATGAATCCGAACGTCTTGTTGAATTCTTCGTATATATCTCGTAGGAATCCGATGTTGCCCACAATCATACCAACCTGCGTGTGTGTGTATGCATATAAATAATCAATATGCAGTATTCAGAAAGATGAAACTGAGAATGAAAACCTAGTATGGATCACCATGCATATATAAGATACAAAGAATCTGCAGAGATGTATATAAATATGTGTTTGTGTGTGTAGAGGGAAACTTACGAGGATGTCAGAAATAATGCGAGGCATTGAATAAGGCTTGAGAAGATAATGAACACCATTGCAGAGAATGACCATGGCCAAGAATATAATGAAGTTTTTGGCTACAGAAAACATGAGAGAGCCAAGCCTTTCGGCACACGGGTTTGAGGATATTGTTGAGACAAAGAAAAGATGACCATTATGAGAGGAACTATTAGACATTATCTTTGGCCCTTTCCTTCCTTCCCTCCTTCCTTCCTTCCTTCCCTCCTTCCTTCCTTCCTTCCCTCCCTCCTTTCTTCTGAGTTGTGTTCTTATCAATTACTTGTTAGATTCTCAATAACCAAAAAGACTCAGAAAGTTCGTTCTGATCTTCTTTTTTTAATTAATTGACCAAAATGATTGTGAATAAGCGAGTGGTGGTGATTGATTGCTCAGTTTCAGGAGACAATGAAGGAGTACTCTGAGGGAAATAAGCGCCGTAAGGTGGTAATTAATTTGCAAACTAAAGGTTGGAGGGCAAATAAACGCGTAAACTGTGATGTGATGTATCTTGAGATCAATATTTTTTTAAAAAATTAAACGTCTATGTGTGTACCTAATACTTGAGTTTTAATATAAAAGTTAGATAAATAATTTACTAATATTAAAAAATTAGTTAAGTTAATTATTTAATAAATAAATAAAAAGTAATTTCAATGTATATAATTGATATTTAGAAAAGATAACATTTATATTAAGAACTAATTTAGAATGTGCTTAATCATTTGAAGGTAAAATGAATAAATATTATTGAAGAGAAAGTATATTTAAGTATCATATTTAAAATAAAATTAAAATCTTTAACTAGCTCTTATATCATTTGTATACAATAGAGCACACTAGTTAAAAGAAATTAATCTGGACGTCTGACAGAATCCGATGATATATGCCTTTAGCTAATATCATCGGGAAAATATGTCAGCATGACTTTCAGCATCCAGCTTTTCTTTTCGTTAAATACTCTGTTCGATCTTAAGTACAAAGGTTAGATAAGTAATTTACTGATATAAAAAATTAGCTAAATTAATTATTTCACGTGTTCATTTCTCTAAAATAGATCTTCTTAGTCATTACTTCATTAATGAAAAGATTCTTTTACATTCTTTCATATATATACAATCGATTCAAGGTCACAATCGATAGGGATCATTTGAAAATAGATTTATAAATCTGAAATATATTGATTTGAGATTTTATATGTAATACTAAAGTAAATACACCAACCAATTCTTGTATTCAAGATAAGAGTGTATTATATATATTGTTTAAAACTTACGAATTGATGTATCTAAACCATGATCACATATTCACTTGTCTAAAGTGGGTTCTGTACTGTTGTACGAAAATTGTTATGATTTGCATTGTTCCTGTGAAGATTTCATTGCTTTACACACACACACACACACATTTATTTGTTTATTTCACAGTGATAAAAATTATCATTTGTCCTTTTTTTGCTTGAGAGTTGAGGGTTAAGAAAAAGTGGGACAAATTGGGGAAAATAAAGCTACTCGTAAGATTTAAAAAAAAAAAAAAACCCTTACGATATCATATTTAAGCATAGTAGATGTTAAAAGAAAATCATGTTTAAAAAAATTACATGTCATTTGGAGAAACACATTGTTATTATGCTTTTCAATATTTATAATTCTATATTATTCGCAATTCTCATTGTTAATATATATAAAGTTACACACAACCCCGGCCAAAAAAAGTAAAAAACGCGCACAAACAAAACAGTTAATGAGAATCAATTTATTTTAAATTTTATCAGAACGTGTATAAAAATAAATAACAAGTTTTTGCCGGAATATGAATGAGAGAATAATAATTTTTTAATCTACAATCAATTTTAATTTTCAGAATCCAAAGGTTTATACTCCTTCGGTCTTTAATATATGACCTAATTAGAGAGTTCATATTGGTTCTATATATAAGATCTATTTCATATATTTATCAATTTTTTTTCAAATTAATCCTATTAATATTTTCCAACAATAATCAAATAGGAGAATGAGGGAAGAAATTAAGAAAGATATTTAGGGTACTTTAGAAAAAAAAATCATATTAACTAATTTAATTGACATTGATCTATTTAAATTAGTTAATTATGTTTTATATTAAGAACTGCTTTAGAGATAATTTAGGAAGCTTGTTAACTTAGAGAAGGAAAAATAATTAATTTATTGTGTTATACCGACTCTCGATTTATTTATAAGAGACCAACTTAAAATTTATACGAGTAATCAAAATTTAATTATAAAATTTCTATAAGTAAACTCCAATTAAAGTATTTTTTTATTATTCTTTAAAGAAGCAAACATTAACCACCTAAAATTATAAGTGCGGTTAAATTCGGAAGATTCTATTCTTGCTGTTACATTTTTATTGTAACAAACTATCCATAAAACTATATTTGATGACATGATCATTTTGCATGTATCTATATTTTGTCTCAATTTTTAATTTGTTACCGTAATTTTCTAATTCAATAATTTAATTTTATTCTGTTTGCACTGTTGACCTTTATAACTTTGATCTTTTAGTATCATTAGTTTTTATGTAAAAGTTAATGATGTTAACAAAGCAAAATGAAAGTATTTAGTTAAGAGAAAAAATTACACAAATACCAAATTAAAAATTATAAAAAACTATAACTACTTACAAAATTATTTGCTTTTTAGATATTTGTGAATAAGGCACCCTGTTCTTGATCCAAGGATTGGAAAAGAAAAAGTACATAAAAATATTATAAAAAGAAATAAAAAAGGCATACCATAATAATTCAAAAAAAAACGCGGTAGATTTCATTTTTTGAAAAAAAAATACTTTTAGTTCAAAGGATCTGATATTTTGGCAAAAAAAAAAAAGATAGATATTATATGAGTTTTAATGTTTTAATTTTTACAACCTAGAAAAAGAAAAGTTCAGGGGTAAACGCTGGGCCCCACAAGTCCGCGCTCAGTCATCCTCCCAAAAATCTGAACTGTCTGAAGGCTCCGACTCTCGAGCGAAGAGTATAAATAGGCTCCGCAGAAACGGAGGAGGATACGCAAGGTTGAAAACACAGAATCAGGGATTGCCCACAATAAAAAAAAGCAAAGGTTTTCTCTTATTTTCACATATTTTCTCCGGTGGAGAACCTCGGAGATCCGGTGCTCTCGGGGCATTCTTCATTCCTCTTCACATTTTTTTTTTCTCTCTCCGGGTGTATCACGAATCCGAGGCAATCCAATTTTGCTTGCCCTTTTAACTCATTTGGGGTTTCCTTCTCCCCAGATTTCAACTCCTTCTCCCTAATTTTCTTACTTTCTTTGGTTGAATCTGGGAGAAGGAAAACCCTTACGGGTTATTGAATGCGTCGCGGATTGGAGATCCGGAGTGTATTTTTTTAGGTAGTTAAGATGAGTGTGATCTCTCGGAATATTTGGCCTGTGTGCGGAAGCTTATGCTTCTTCTGCCCTGCTTTGCGCGAGAGATCAAGACACCCTATTAAGCGTTATAAGAAGTTGCTTGCCGATATATTCCCTCGCTCTCAGGTCATTTTGTCTTTTACTTTTCTACAAGTGCCTCCTTCGTGAAGAAATAATGTTATTATTCTTAATCATCTGGGAAGGATTGGCAACACGCTTTCTTCTTCTTCTTCCTCCCTTTTCTTTTTTATCTTTTGTTTTTGGTTCTGGTGCCTGTACACCTTCAAACCTTCACAGCTTCTGAAAGGATGGACGTTGCCTTGTTACGTTGTCATCCTTGGACACTTAAGAATTTTGGGACATACGGTTGTGGGCATTTTGTTTCTGTCCAAGGTTTTTCTGAATGTTTTAATTGCGCTTATCTGCTTTCAGAATAATGTCGAGATGGTTTGTGAGCAGGAAAATAATGTAAAGTGAAATTTCTGGGCACGAAAAGAATACGTGGTTTTAAATACTGGTAAAAGGTTGGGGGCGAATTGATGAGTTTTAAAGTTGAAGGCACTTATTTATATTTTTTTTGGGCGGGTCCCCTTTTTCTGTTCTTTGATGAATGGGACCGTTCTTTATAGATGCCCACTGAAATTGCGGGAAAAAGAAGTTTTTCATTCTTCTTTCAGGTCACCTGGGTTGAAAAAGAGTAATGTTGGGCGCTTTTTAATGACTTTTTAATCGTTATATTTGGCTTATATCGTCATTTGATTGCATTTAGAAAAACCTGAGTGTTTAAATTTTTTGTGGCTAAGTTTTATTGTCAAGAACTATCAATTTATACCTGCAGGAAGAAGAACCGAATGATCGAATGATTGGCAAGCTATGTGAATATGCCTCCAGAAATCCTCTCCGTGTTCCGAAGGTACACGACTTTTCAATTGGATTCTTCAATAAGGTAGAAATTACGGAATTAGAAATCAAAGATTGGTGGTTCAAGTGAAAACTGATCCCCTAAAAATTAATTGAAAAATATTTATTCTAAACTCGGGGTGTTAATGTCATGCCATAATATTTAGTTATTGTGGAAATTTAATGTCAATAGTGGGAGCGCATTCCTTGCTCGTCGTAATGATGAGCATAGTGTGCTCATCTTGATTTGGATCATCCAGATCGATTTTGGATGGTACAGATTGAATTTATTTTTTCTAATATTTTTAATGAATTTTTTATTTTAATAGGTACAAAATTTAAAATAAAGATAATCTAATAATTAACACTTCTTTAAAAAAACAAATTTATCATTGAAACTTTTTTTATATCTAAACTATCTATATCAAATTTTCATGATTTAGGTTATATTACAGTGATGAGCATGTGGTGCTCATCATTGAGATTGTAAATTAATATTATCTCCGGTCCTAATTATAAGACCCAATTGACTAATTTGAGGAAATTAAGGAAAGAAGTTAAATTAGTTATTTGTAATAAATAGGTGTTGTCTTTCCTAAAATATCCTTACTAATCAACTATATTGGCTAAAACTATAATTATTAAAAGGACTACCTTAGGAAAAAATGCATAAATATGAGAGACAAAGTGGATTGGGGTCTTATATTAGGACCAAAATAACAGTCAAACAGGGTCTTATATTAAGGACCGGAAGGTAGTAGTTCTTATGGTGTGGAATCTAGTCTCGCAGTTGCAATAATTGGTTACGTGTTAGATTTAATAAGAAGGCTATGCAGTTATTGTTAGTAAATAAAAGGCTTGGCTGATTACTAATTAGAGTGGTTGAGTCTGTAACCGAATTGGAGCTGACTCTCCCTTACTATAGACTCGTATAAGTAAACCAGATGGGAAGGAAGAGGTGTGGATGAACATTAAATACTTCTGTCGGATGACCTTTTTACTGGGGTCTTCATGCCGGGATCCTGAGCTCTACTCAATGGTGGAGTGATTCTATGTTTTATCATATTTTTGTTTCACATTTTCTCCTACACATTTTAAACCGAAGTATAACTCATTTTCCAACATATATGATTTAGTTACAAATAATAATAGAAATATGATTTCTTAATTTATTGCAGATAACCACCTACCTTGAGCAAAGGTGTTATAAGGAATTGAGAAATGAGAACATCCATTGTGTAAAAGTTGTCATTTGTATCTACAGGAGATTGCTGGTTTCTTGTAAGGAGCAAATGTGAGTTACCGTTCTTATTGTTTCATTCTACTAAGTCGAAATTGCTGGCCTTTTACACTAAAAGATTTTCCCAATGGACATAAAAGAGTTAACGTCTATTGTGAGTATGCAATACATTTCGCGTCCATTGAAAGTATTGGACGGTCAATATTCATGGAGTTGCTTTTTTCTTTCCTCCAGTATTTATGGTATTGCCAGTAGTATCTGGATCAGAATTCTATTGTTAAAGCCTTAATACAACTCCCTCGTGTTTATGCTTTAATGTAGAAATTCTGATTTGTTGAGCTTTATGGTGGACTCTTTGACTGAGCTGTATTGCTTAGCTTGATCTGTTGCGAATGCTTACAACTAATACAATATGTAAGGTATTATGATAATGTGCAGGAGTTTATATTCTTCAGAAGGCATCACATAAATTCACAAAGATGATCACACAAGATCTTATACCATGTGACAACATATCTGTAAATGATGATTCTGCTTTTGCTTACTAGTTATAGTAGCTTGTAGGGAGAAGGCTGCATAATTATTTACACTCACTCTCTTAAGAGGGGAAAACACCCAATGCTGGGATTGAGCTGCTTTGTAGATGATTAAAGCGACTCAGTTATTCTATAATTTCAGATATTTGTGGCACTAGGATTAGTTAGTATGACACAATAGTCCATATGGTAATAAAGGAACAGCTTTAACCACAAACCTGATTATACTTTGTGACAAATCATGACACATTCAGATATCTTACCAAAGAAATGTAGGACAGGGGAAGAGTGAGAATGGGGAAGGAGAAAGAGAGAAATTGAGAGAGAAAGGAAAGAAGAATAAGGGAGAAATATATAGTAATGATTCTGAATATTCAAATCATTAAGTCTCACAAATGAGGATAACTTAGATCAAGTTGTTGGAAGCCTAATAACTTAACGTAAAAGGAATCATAATAAAGGAAACAGCTTATTATAACAGAAAACCCAATAAAGGAGAAAAAAAATCAATTACTAATATGCATAAATCTTTCCAAATTTTCCATCAAAAAGTTTTTGAAATTTTTGGGCCTAACAGAAATGTTTTTGAAAGAAATAGAAGAAACTGATCTTTCATTTCCTAAGGAACTTTATGCATATCAAATCTATATATAAATTTATGAGAAGCATACTATTATGACAGGCCATTGTTTGCAAGTAGCTTGCTTGGCATCATACAAATTCTTCTTGATCAAGCACGGCATAATGAAGTGCAAACGTTAGGGTGCCAAACTCTCTTTGACTTTGTGAACAATCAGGTGGGGTTTATATTTATAAGATGTTTGTTTTGGATTTCGACGTTTATTTAGGTTTTGGTGTTTATTAGATGATATTGTAAGTTCTTTTATGAGCAAGTGCTGAGGCATCTTTTGTTGCGCAGAGAGATGGTACCTATATGTTAAATCTAGATGGATTAGTTTCCAAACTTTGTCTTCTAGCTCAAGAAGCGGGTGACGAAGAAAAAGTACAACATTTGCGTGCTTCTGGCATACAGGCTCTTTCGTCAATGGTAATTCCAATGCTTTCACTGTCATATGTGTGTACTGTTTTGTGCTCTTTAAATGTTAAGCAATCTTTTGACATGCTTGACAAATGAAGTTATTATTAAGAAACTACGTAATAATATTGAAATAAAAATGATTAGAGTCTTTGCACATGCTTGTGGCTGGCACTGTTTCTCTAATTCATTTATCAAATGTTTTTGTTATTCTCAGTATCATGAATCATATGGAGTAGCATAGTACGTACAGTGTCAGTTACAAGCATGTCTGATACACCTTAAGCTTGAAATAAAACGAAGCTACATTGAATATCGTTATTTGTGCAGAAAGAAGTCCTTAGGAGCTTGTAATTGTTCTTGAAAAGACAGGAATGTTATGTCTTCTCGATAGTTAAACCTTAGAAGAAGCCCAGTATGGCTAGCTTGTTAAAAAGCTTCATAAATGGCTTTTCTAATTTTTTGGGGAAAACATCTTTGACTTGAAGAAAAATAAACATGACCTGATAATAAATAAAAGGGCAATTATAAGCAGAAAATATAAAATTAAATGAATTAAAAAATGAAAAGGGGAATTATGCAGATTCTTAACCAGTGTATGACTTCGTTGAAACTCTCGCTGAAACAGGAAAAGAATCCATTTGAAGGGTTCAGAGAATTTGAACCAGGCTATGTTTAGAAGTCCTTAAATGTTTTGAGCATGGTTTATTCATGTTGTTCCAAAATGCTTCCTCAACATTATACCTTTAATTAATGAAGTCATGAATTGATAAATGAATAGAATTAAGTGCTAATCTCTCTTTTTTATAAACCAAATTTGACTCTCGCTCAGAGAGCTTAGTAGAGTAAACTGGTTGATCAGTAATTATGTGTTGACACAGGTTTGGTTCATGGGTGAATTTTCACATATTTCAGCTGAATTTGACAATGTAAGTACCATATGTTACGCATTTTAAGTTATCTATTCTTATTTGCTTAGAATTTTCTAGATTAACAATTATGCAATTTTTAAGTAATCCTCAAATAGACAGTTTCTCCCCAAATTGGAAATATCTTTCAAAGCAAGGCAAGAAGAATTCTGTTTTTTTTTTTCCTGATCAGATGAATCATATAGTTTTTTTTTTTTGGGCCAAAAGTGAATCATATAATTTTGATTTTTTCAAATATCACACTCCTTTCATGTTCAACATGAACGTTCAGTTTTTGCCATAGTGGGTTTTGGAGTAAAAGAAACCTATTTCAAGTGCACATTCATGTATTATCCTTCCGTACACAGCTTCTGTTTTACAGCTTCATTCTTTTTAACTCAGGTTGTTTCAGTTGTGTTGGAAAATTATGGCGACGTTGAGAAAGATTCTGAAAATATGCAAATGACAAGGATTACTTCTTGGAGAATGGTGGTGAATGAGAAAGGACAAGTTAATGTGCCTGTGTAATTATCATTCTCATGATGGTGGTTTATCTTCTGATTTACTAATTAATCCCATTTGGCTGTTTATAACTTCTTTTTTATTTTTCATTTTATTATCTACAGGGAAGATGTTGTAAACCCTCGGTTTTGGTCAAGGGTTTGCCTGCGTAATATGGCGAAGTTAGCCAAAGAGGCAACAACTGTACGGCGTGTTTTGGAATCCTTGTTCCGCTATTTTGATAGTGCTAATCTCTGGTCTCCACAACACGGGCTTGCTCTTTCAGTGTTGCTGGAAATGCAGTTAATAATTGAAAACTTGGGTATTTATTTTCTTCAGTGCTCAAGATTAGATAGATTCTAGATCAGTTTTGCCTGTTGAGTTCTCCCCCCCCCCCCCGGGGCAACAGTTTATAGTTAAATTCAATGTAATTTGCAGGGCAGAATACACACTTTCTATTGTCCATTTTGGTCAAACACCTTGATCACAAGAATGTGTTAAAGGACCCTAATATGCAGCTCGACATTGTTGATGTTATCACCCAGCTTGCTAAACAGACAAAGGTTCAGCAATCTGTGGCTATAATTGGTGCACTGAGTGACATGATGAGACACCTACGGAAAAGCATACATTGCTCTCTTGACGATTCAAACCTAGGGGCCGAAGTTATCCAATGGAACCAAAAGTACCGACAAGCAGTAGATGAATGCCTGGCGCAGTTATCACTCAAGGTCACAATATGTCCTGCCCTTTTCAAAGACTTTAATTGCATGAGAATTCGAAGAGGCATATGTGTGTGTCCATTTATATATTTAGTTGAGCATTGGATGTCTATTTTCTATAACTTTTTTTGTGGTCCTGGGCTGTACTGTTATACAGATTGGAGATGCAGGTCCTGTTCTTGATATGATGGCCGTATTGTTGGAAAATATGTCTAACATCACCGTAATGGCCAGAACCTTGATTTCTGCAGTTTATAGAACGGCTCAAATAGCAGCTTCAATACCAAATCTGCAATACCAGAACAAGGCAAGAATACATTAATCCGTTTAAGCTTTCTCCTAATTTTTTGCTATAATCGAATAATTTACTCCTGCTTCTTTGTGACCTTTCTTCAACCTTTTTTCTCTCTCCCTATTTCTATCTATTTGTAAACTTGACGCTGCACCTCTCCAGGCATTTCCTGAGGCATTATTTCATCAGTTACTCCTGGCAATGGTACATCCAGACCACGAAACCAGGGTCGGGGCACACCGCATATTTTCTGTTGTTCTTGTGCCATCATCAGTGTGTCCTCAACCTTCTTCTCTTGTCCCCTCCCCAGTAAAGGCAGCTCATGCTAATGTTCCAAGGACACTATCCAGAAATGTATCTGTATTTTCTTCTTCAGCCGCGCTATTTCAGAAAATGGATAGGAAGAAACCAGTTTTTCCAGAAGATAGCCATAACAGAACCGCGGTTGATGGGGCTGCAAAGACCAATGACAACTCCATTATGAACAGGTTAAAGTCAACTTATAGTCGGACCCAAAGTAAAAGAAGGCCTAGTAGTGAATCAACAGATAAGGACAAGATCAGTAGTCCTTCCATGATGAACAGATTGAAGTCAACTTACAGTCGAGTTGCTAGTGTAAAGAAGCCCCAAACTGCATTTGGCGAAGAAAATGCTTCAAACAGCCCTGATAAGCAAATGGTGATAATTTTTCATTCTACTGTAATAGCAATAAATCTTGTCAATCAATATCACCCGATATTAAACAGTTCTCTTATTACTACGATGTTACAGGCATTACCCCTTAGGCTGAGCAGTCACCAGATTGCCCTTTTGCTATCATCAATCTGGGCACAGTCCCTCTCTCCTCAGAATGTGCCTGAAAATTTTCAAGCAATTGCCCATACTTACAGCCTTGTCTTGCTAGTTGCTCGGAACAAGGTAATAAGTTTTTCATTAATATATATACATCAAGATCATATTTTCATCTAATTTGCCCCTTATGGGAAATTCATAATCAGAACTATTAGTAATAAAATATACTAGGAAATTCATAATCAGAATTATTAGTAATAAAATATACTATTAAAATATTAATTCTAATAGTAGTAATCATCATAGTAAATGGTTATATTGTAATTAATAAATTCATTTGTTGTAATTAAAATGTTTCTGAACTACAGTTTTTAGAGTTTGATTAATGAATTGTAGTCATTCCTGTTAATATAAGATACTAACATGATTATTGAACAAAAACTGTTTGTTACTTTTATCTACCTGCAATATATTGTGCTGGAATTCACTCATAAACATGAAAGTAGTAGTTCATTTATTCTTTATTTTACCTGCGGTCACGAGTTAATGCATTTTCCCCTGTTGCTATACTGGTATTCATTTTCAGCATGATAGTTCATCACCAAGATGGACATTGCATCTGTATAAGAATTGTGTTAAAGTAACAATACATCTAAAGCAGTAGACTTCGTTTGATAACATAATCATCTCAGTTTTCTGAAGAGAGGTCTCTTCTATTTATTCTAATTTATATTTTCACTTTCCTTGGATAAATGATTGAGGATCTCATTGTTTTTGAACATTTGCATTACTTAGTTTAAAATATCTCTCTTTTGTAGACTAACAAAGAATAATACTGTAGGGGACTTAGCCAAGTACCTTGTGTGCATATTTTTAGTTATGACATAGGTCAAGTTCCAAGGGAATACACTTGGTATGAGTTTGAACCCACTAATCGTTATCAGATTCAGACCAGATTTAACTTAGCTGTCTCCCTTGCCATTCCTTGTATCTTCTTTCAAGTTGAAGACTACTAAAACAGCTTGGTATAAGCAAAATCTAACTTAAGAGTATAGACAAAGCGTATTCAAACTTGAAACCATAAAAATCATGATGGATCACCTCAACTTGCTTCGTCCCCAAAAAAAAAAAAAAAAAAAAAAAAAAGAAAAAGGCCACTCTAAAGGTCGCCTAACTGTGATTGCAATGGAAATCCAAGATCTCCAGCAACTGGTTTTTATTATAAGTGGTTTACTACTGATTCCTTGGCCATAACATAATTTTTCTTAGGGTGTTGATCTTTTTTAAATCTTAACTTGTCATTTTATTAAGTCGTTGTTAACTTTTGTTTCGCCTGATCTCTTGCAAATTCTGTGAATCGCAGAACTCCTCTAATGAGGCTCTGATTCAAAGTTTCCAGTTGGCGTTTACCTTGAGGAGCATTTCTCTTGCTGAAAAGGGTAGAACCTTTATGTCCTATGTAGTTTATCAAATGTGACAATCAGTAAGAGCAGTTTATGATATAGTTGGATGTCTCATGAAGCCAAATTACATTTTTTTTTTAACCATTTTTCTCGTCACCAAATAATGCATATGAAGTGATGCTCTGCTTGACAATGATTTTCCTAGCTGAAACATTACCAGGAACTCTCAGTAAGTTTCTTGAACTTGTATTTCAAAAATCTTTAACCTAAAGGAACTCTTTCAGCAAAATTGAGTTGCATGCTTTTTGAAATTATATATGAACGTAAAGTTAGATAGGTTGGGAAGGGGAGCTAATATCTGCCAAGAAATTCTTTTACTTTTCGCTTTATCGCAAGAAACACTTATTTTCTCCTCAATGATGGCTATCTAATGTCACTTTCTTCCATTTTCCGACTTTCTAATCATACTAGTTTGTTGAAGAAGCTCACAAGATGATTGGAATTTCAAAAGCCTTAAACATTTTGTTAGAAATCATGATCATCCCTTTGATTTAATAATGATTGAACAGCAAATACTGAACACTGAGGAGTCAAAAATCGGTCCTTTGTTTTTCGGTGTTAAATTTGAACTAATGGTCAACCAATGGTGAAAACCCAAATTTTGTGATTGAAGTAAAATGTTATCGTACAACGGAGATTTTGATTTTGCATGATGGATAAACCTAATTCAACATTGTTGTATATTCTCATGGATACCTAAGCAAAATGGGGAACTCTGTCCAAAAATCCAGTTACTTTGGTGGGAGAACAAACTCACTTATATACCCTTTTGGCCATCCCATACTACTTAACATTGATTGGTGCATCCTATGCCACTTTAGTTTCCTTCATTTGGCCCCCGTTGGAGAGGTGATGTCTTCACGGCTATATGCTGCAGTGTTCAACGCCTACAATTTACTTGACCTCCTTGCCCATTAAAACCTTCACCTGCTAGGACTCTCTATCGGTAGTCATTTTTGGAGCAATCAATCACCAACTTTGATACCAACTAATGAGCACGCAAGTGTGATCAGGAATCTTCCTCCAAAACTTTGTACCAATTGGTTTAATGTTTTTGGCCCAAAAAAAATTGGTTTAATGTTGCATAGAATTGTCAAGCTGTCAAATTTTGAACTTCAAATAACAATTTTTTTATCTTTTTCAGTTCAGCTGCCGCCTTCACGCCGCAGATCTCTCTTCACATTGGCAACATGCATGATTGTTTTCATAGCCAAGGCCTACAACGTGCTCTCTCTCATTCCTATTGCTAAAATGGCACTTTCAGATGAAACAGTATGCGAATCACATCTTTGATGCAACTTTTTTCAATAATTTATATTATCAGAATTTTTCAGACATCGCTCATAACCTTTTGGATTGTGATGTAGATTGTAGTGATTGTATATTTTCTTTACACAATTGAATACACTTTTAAACAGTTCTAGTGGTGTTCCATGGGGTTAAATTATTATTTTGTCCCTGAACTTTTCATGCTTGTTTCAGGTTGATCCATTTCTACAAATTTTTGACGATAACAAATTGCAAGTTGTGATGGATACAATAAGACATCCGAGTAAACCTTATGGATCAAAGGAGGATGATGTAGATGCTTTAAAGTCACTTTCAGCAATAAAACTGACTGAGAGCCAGTCTAAAGAATCATTTGCTACCATGATAGTGCAGAATGTGGAAAAATCAACAGATGTAACAACTTGTTGCTATACCATGGTCTAATTTGTTGGTATATGGTGCTAACTTCTGAATTCTTTGTGCAACAGGAACCATCCAACTTAAAAGAAAAACTGCTTCGTAAATTTTCACCTGATAATGCATGTCCAATGGGAGCTCAGCTATCCACCGAATCACCAGGAGGCATCTACCAATCTGGATTGAAAGATGATAAATCATCCGATATGGTAACTTGCACGGATTTTTTCTTTCTTTTCTAAATATTATTTTCATCTAACATTTGCCCATCATGTTAAACATCGAGAATCTGCAGGTTGATGCACCATTGTTTACACTTGATGATGACGTCTCATCCCGAGAATTGGAAAGCACAGCTGGCGCTGTTGTGCAGCTGCCTTCAGAAAGTCCTATTCTGCTTAGTGTTGATGACATTTTGGGTTCGGTAAGTTTTTCTGTTCCAAAAAATACAAACACATAGCATCCTTCTGTTCTACCCATGTCTTGTATCGTTTTGATGAAGATGACTTTGCATGAGATACAGACAAGTAAAATAATTCCTGAAATAAAAACGTTAGGCCAGGGTAAGTGCTCTGTATCAAGTACAAGGGCAGACAGAATAATCCTACATGCCAAAAGCTTTGTAGCTTTTAATTAGTGAATAAAAGGAGGCATCTTGAACGCACTCCCATTCATTTCTTCCTAATATTTCTCGTCAAACCGAAATAAATATCACTTTTATTATCAAACCAAAGTGATATATAATTTTTTTAAAAAATGATAATATATGTAGGTTATGGAAACAACAAATCAAGTTGGAAGGGTTTCAGTTTCACCTCCATTTGACAAGCCTTATAAAGAAATGGCTCTGCATTGTGAGGCCCTCCTCATGGGAAAGCAGCAGATGATTTCCACTTTCATGTTTCCTCTGCCAGTGCAAGGAAATCCATTTACTATTTCTGCTGAAGATTACAACCAGGGCAAGGGGGAGGTGCCTTCACAATCCACTGTTCAGCAAAGTCTCCCTATGGTACTCTTCCTTTCTTTAGTTTTAAAATGTAGAATGAAGCTTTTTTACCTTGTTTTATATGCATATATGATTGCGGTTGACATTTATGACATGAAAATATGGGTCAAGTTATTGTTTATCCTCTTGCTTTGGCCCGAATTTAGGTTTACCATATGCAGGTTAATATATGTAATCCAATCTTGCTTTTGCCTGTTTAACTCCCAAATAATCACATGCCATATTCTCAGTCCTAATATGAACAAAAATAAAAGTGAATGTTAAGACAGAAAAATCTCTTTGCCGGATATATGTTTCACTTATACAATTTCATATTCCATAGTGTTCTAATGCTGCAACTTGGATGAAGGTGACGTGTAGGAAACTGGCACAAGATGATTAATTGATAACAACAAGATTTGAGGCCAAAAGAAGGGAGATTCTAATTAATGACTTCATCTAAATATGATCACATCATAACTTAACACTATCTTATTCATCCAATTTCATCAAAAATATGGAAACAAGGATATCTTATTTTCTTACCATTTGAACTGCAGACAGGAAATCCATTCCTGGAGCCAAACATTGTCCCCATGTCTGGCGCGACACCGACTCAAGTGCTTTGTGCGGCAGCATACCAGTACCAGACCTTTCAATTACCAGCATCTAGCCCATATGATAACTTCTTGAAGGCTGCTGGTTGTTGATTTCTGATCATAAAGATGGGTCATACTCAGATTGTTGTAGTTATCATAGGAGCAAGATCCTCATTAGCTTCTTTTTCTTGAGCTCAAATTGACAACAAGCATTTCAGTTAGATTCGGTGATTGGTTGGTGTTTTTGTGGCAGCCTTGACCAATCAGATTGTATGATGAGTCATAATTCTTCTTCAATGATTTGCTTTCAGCAAGGAGGCGTATCTTCTATTGACTTCCTTGCTCTTACTTAGAGCTGGTTTTATGTGCATAGCTTACCCCAACTCCCCAACCAAGTGGGTTGTACATGCCTTTTTTTTTTTCCCCCTCCCTTCCTATTCCCTCTTGCCTCTAGCCATTTGAAAGTGAGAATTTTGTAAAGATAACTCTTTTTAGAATGAAGTTTTAATTAGAAAATTTTGAGATGCACTCATGTTTAGAAAAGTAATATGATGCTGAGCTTAATCATATCATGGATATTCAACATATTAAGAATTCTATAGCTCAACCCTTTCAAAAGCCCCCAAAAATAAATAAATAATAAATATTAAGAATTGTAATTTCGTCCTGCTTCTTTAACGTCACTTTGGAAGTGATGTTAAAAGAGAACGATATCCAAAAATAATAATAAATGTTTGCCACGAGGCTATTAGTTAAAAGAATGGATAAAAGGTTTCTAGAGTATGGTTTAAGAAATGGCTTCATACAAGATGTGTGTGTGAGTGCATTCTATCTCAAATACTAATATTTATGAATTTTATGTGTTCGTGAATTTATAGAATTTCAATCAAGTAGAAGATGCCAAAATTATAATAGCGTTTCTAAAGCCGTTTTATTTTTACCCTGGAACGATTTCCTTTTTCGAAAAATATATATATATATATATTGACCCAATTAATTCTTAATTCGAAATATTGACGGGATTGGTATGTTCCATAAGATATAAATAGTCTACTCCACTATTTCAACATTTTATTCATTCATTTCCAAACGGAAGGAACCATTAAACAGAATTAATCGTAGGTAAAGGTATTCTTAAAAGAGTTCAAATCACAACTTTGAAGATGCCATAAATGCACAAGAAATAGAATTTGGAGTCGCAGCAGCAACAACAGCATATTTTCTAGAACGCACAAACACTTGAGGACTGCAAGAGAAGGAAGAAGTATTTGGAAAGAGTATGCCAAGTCAGAAATGGAAAGAGTACACTTGAATGAGCTCATATTAATTGTTCCTACAGGCACTTGCAATTTGTGTCCTGAATATCGATCAATGAAATAAAGCTTAGAGTGGTCCTGAACCAACTACTGACAGATTAAAAAGAGTAGAATGGAGTCAAAGGGAAACACCCAGATTTTGTTGAAACGGATGATAAGAAAGCGGATTGTTTATTCACCAATTAACATGTGGTATTTGAGCAAGTCCTGGCCAATCAACACCCTCTAATTTCTGTCCGCATCTTTGCTTTAAAGCAGAGTGACCGAGGACATCAAAACGTTGCAATGATGTGAAACTCCTTACTGAGTCAGGAAGTGATGCCAAGGAATTGCAGAAGCTGAGGCTTAGCCTTTGCAATGATATGAGTCTGCCAATAGACTCTGGAAGTGATGCCAAAGAAAAGCAGTAGGAGAGGGTTAGAGATTGCAGTGACGTGAGATTTCCAATGGACTCTAGAAGTGATGCCAAAAAATAACAACTATGGAAGTTTAGTTCTTGTAATAATGTGAGATTCCACATCCACTCTGACAACCGTTTGCTGCAAAATCTGTAAATCGACAGTAGTCTTATTGTATGAGGCGGCTCTAAAGCTTCTAAAATTATCTCATCCTCATGGAAATTCCGTCCAGCTTAAGGTCAATTCTCCAAGACATGTCTTGTCAAGCAAAAACTTTGATGACTCAACCTCCTTTACATTCCTCCATTGTCTTATCAAATTTGTAATGGCCAAATGTCCCCTCAAACATATCAGATAACGTAGCTCAATTATCCTTACACCACCACCACTCACTTCGCTTCGTTCCACCACAATGTTCTCAGTGTTTGGAAATTAGTCAAACACCCCAAACCACATGGCATACATATCAAATTCCGACAATAATCCAGTTCAAGATGTCTCAATCTTGCCAATCTCTTCAAATCACTAGGAAGCTCTATTAAAGATGGACAGTCATTAAGTATTAGAGTCAGCAAGTTATGCAACTTGGTAATTCCTCGTGGGAGCTTCTTAAGTACCTGATTCTTAGTTAAATCAAGATACCTTAAATGCTTCAAGTCTCCTATACTTTCTGGAATTTGCAACTTTTGATTTCTAAGGGCCAATACACATAAATGTTTTGGAAGTGATATTGTAGACCCATAAATTGGATTAAAGAATCTTGATGAAGGGTGATTTGGAATAAATTCCCACTGTCCTTGTAGCAACAAAATTGTTCTTATTTTCTTTGTTCTTGATATTACCAAGTGGAAACTTCAAATTACTGTCACAATAACTTGACACATGATGAATCCCATCACTAAAGTTCTCTTTTTCTATCCTTTCACTTGTGTCAAGGTAACACTCATTTTTAGTGATTGAGTGTGCTAGATCATGTATGAGATCATGCATCTTACACCACACTATTTCACCAGAAGCATCATCTCGCTGAACATCTTGAAATAAGCACCTTGACAATAACTGCTCAAAGTACTCATTACCAATATTTTCCAAGAACCTATTTTTATCCAAGGGTTCAATAAACCCCTCAGCTATCCACAACTGAATTAGTGTTTCTCTCTTAATCTTATAATCTTTTGAAACAGGGAGCAAAATGCAAAGCAAATTTTTAAATGGGAGGGAAGATGATCATAAATAAGTTTAAGAATAGAAAAGATTTTGTTGTCCTCAGAATTTATATTTGCAAGTTCATTATCCCTAAAGTATGACCATTCACTCCCAACTTCACCGTGAACAATAGGCTATCAATGGTTCTTATTGCAAGTGGAACTTCAGCACATTTTCTGACAATGTCACTTCAATATGTACTCACTCTTGATTATCAGGTTTTTTTCCTTCCCGAAAAGCCATTCTACAAAACAGCTCCCAAGAGTTTTTAAAATCCAAATCATCTAAGTGAAGATGCTCATCAGGTGTGCCCATTATTTGTGCCACTTTCTCACTACGTGTGGTCACAATGATTATGCTTCCCTTTTTGCCTCCTCTCAATAGGCTTTCCAATTCAAGCCATTTCTCACGGTCCTCATTCCAGACATCGTCTAAAACAAGCAGAAAAACTCAATCTTCTTTCTTAAATCTTGTGTGACCTCATCCAGTCGACGATTGGTTTCCTTATCATCAATGATGTTTTGAGCTATTCTCTTCATATAAATTCATCCGATTCATCAGAC